TCCAAATAGTACTGGTCCTTGCAAACTGTGCACTGCAAGGGAGACAAGCACTTGAAACAGGTAGATGGGCAGGGCTCGCACATTCCTCCAATCCCTCGCACACCTGGCTTGGCCCAGTAGCCATCTGGGCATGCTTCCTCGCACTTTGAGTCTGGAGTAAGGAAGGCATGATTCTTGCATTCAACACATACATCTGCGGCTGTGCACAAGTTGCACTTGTGATCACATTGAATGCATTCACGGCCGACGAGGCCATCCCCTTTGCCATAGAAGCCAGCTGGGCAATCAGCTTGGCACCATTTTGCAGCGGTCAAGTACTTGCTGTTCTTGCATTCAGTGCACACTGTGGCCTTAGTGGATCACAGCAATCCAGAAGCTACCTTAACATGTCAACCATTTGCATTCGTCAAGATTCCGATTTACAATATGGCGCATCAGTCAGGGGCTGAAGCAGTCCACTTCAGAGCAGAAAATAAAGAAACATGTGGCACTTGAGCCTCTAGGGGCTCAACTAATTGAGCGGCGTGCATGTGCAGCTTTCTTTCGCGGGGCTTTTTTTGCATCAACCCTTTCGCTGTGCTTTCGGGGCAGCTCTTTGAAACTAGCAAGGCAGCTTTTCAGTACGAAAGTAGTACAATTGGTACACCAACTTACGCTTTGGTAGATCCAGCTTGAGAATCTCAACTTTTCAACATAGTTGTCCGCTGCTGCTCAAAAACACAATTTGGCACTTTGGATCTTGGACCCACACCTTTCCACGGAGCTTTTCCCGCATTCGCTCCGCATTTTCGATTCTGGCAAACAGCCTGTGCACACTTACACAACACGGCCCAAGACCACAAAGCTTCCTCCAGGCAAAGCCATTCAAATGCATGTGGCGCTTCAAGGCAAGCTCGCGAGATCCATGCAAACGTTCTGCCGGTGTGTTTCCCTTAAAGAGAAAAAATTGCCGATTTGTGGAACTTTCTACAATGGTGCTTGAAAGAATCTCAGAATCATTGAACATCGCTAGTTTTAATGTTGAGAAGGTTTTGGAAAGTTTCGAGAGAGTCCAAGGCGGTTCATCTTTTGGGACAGCATCCCCCAAATATGCATTGCAAATCTCGAACCTTCCCGGAACCTCTCCAGGAGCCTCTCTGAACATGCTCATACTTTTAGTTGCTTGGCGGAACGCCGTTGCCATATTAAGGGATTGCCTCAGTATGGCAAAAGCAAAGCACCTGGGGGGTCGAACAGTTGAACAGCATATTGCGGCTTCTGCGGACGCCAAGCGTTCTGCTTGCAACTCCGTCTGAGGTCCAGGCATCAGTGCAGGCACTGCAATTCTCTGCACAAAGGGCGCAGCTTCGGCCGACAAGATCTATGCCAGAAGGGTAGTAGCCCTTTGGACACACATCGTCGCAGCTCGCACTGGGTGTCAAGTACATGCCGTTTTTGCACTCACTGCTGTAGTCTGCGGAAATGCACTTGCTGGCGTCGCCTAGACATATTTTGCACTCGTTGCCAATCTCCTGGTCGCCGTCCTTGTAGAAGTGATCGGGGCATGTGAAATCACACATCTTGTGGGGGGTGAGGAAGGAGTGATTCTTGCACATTGTGCACTCATCATCACTGATGCAATCGAGGCAAGTCCAAGGACAGGTAGTGCAATATCTTCCAATCAGCGCCTCTCCACGCTCGTGATAGCCTGTTGGACACTCTTGCTCGCAGGTGCCTGTTGGTGTCAAGTATGCCCCATCCTTGCATTCTGTGCATTCCTCCGGGGATGAGCACAGGTTGCAACTGCCCGGGCATTCATAGCAGGTTCCAAACAGCCCATAGTAGCCTGCTGGACAATAAGATCTGCATTGATGGTAGGACGTCATGAGGGTTCCCCCTCTGCAGGATGTACACTTCTCCCGGCTGTCGCAAGTGGCACAATTTTCGGGACACATCGGGCATGTACCACCAACAAATCCTTCACCTTTCTCTTTAAAGTGCCCATAAGGGCATTCGTCTGCACAGTCCCCGCTTGGTGAGAGGAAGTGCTGTGCAGTGCATTTTGTGCAAACACCATCCTTGGTTGTGAGCTAAGATCTTGCTCACCCATCATGCCACAAAAAGCTCTCTGATCAGCCCAAGGAGCGCTAATGCATTCCACGCATGTGTCTGAACACTTCTCGCACACACCTCCCACATCTCCGGAGCCGGAGCGCTTTGCAAAGAGACCTCAGCTTCAAGCAAGTGCCATCTTCCCAAGGATGGCACCGTGTGATCCCGCATATAAGTGTCGGGCCAGTGGGGCAACTCGCTTCGCACTTATTCTCCAGCAGGTAGGTAGAGTTCTTGCACTCTGTGCAGTAGGTGTCAGACCTCAGAGGGTCCAATGGACCGAAAAGCAAAATTCCCACAGTCACCGAATCACCGCTTCAAAACTTAGATGTGAACTCGCAGGTGTTGCAGCTTGGCGGGCACAGCGGACAGGTGCGACCTATGGAAGCGCTGCCCATCTCATAGGAGCCGTCGGGGCACTCTTCTGCGCACCAGCCATATGGCGTCAGGTGAGTGCTGTTTCGGCACTCGGTGCACTCAGCTGCACCAGTACCTGAGCACGGACAAAACGGACTTGGAAGGAAACCAAAACCTGCCCTTTGCGCAATGATGGCATTTCAAGATAGCCTGAGCGCAACTTGACAAGTGCATGTCCAAGTGCTACCGTTGGTGTACTGTTAATCCGTTAAAACTGTGTGCGCCATCATTTTCATGTTCCCTTCATATAAAGCCAGGTCGTGGTTGCCTGACCCAAAAAAGGATCCATGACCACCATCCCCATTAAGCCGAAGTAGTAGGTCCTTTACCCACGCCACAAAGCGGCTCATGCATGAACAGTGGCTGGTCAACAACTGAGATCGCAACATTGACTGCAATTCTCTGCGCAGAGCGGACACGTGCCACCAATTCCACCTGCTCCCTCCTGCATGTAATAGCCGACTGGGCAAGCCTCAGCTTGGACTCTGAAACCAGAATGAGCCTGCTGAATGACAAAACTACTTGGCCAAGCAACCTCGGCGCACGTGCCATCTGGCTGCAAGAAGGTGTGATTCTTGCACTGCGTGCAAACCTGCCAGCTGCCAGGACATGCCACAGGCATAGCGTGCCGTATGGTTTAGCAAATTTATCAACCACGACAACGACAACGGCAGCCACAGCAGAGGCAGAAGCTGCGGAGCAATCAACAGCAATTCGTAGACACCCGCGGAGCAAAAGCAGAAGCAAAAGCACAAAAAGCACAAAATGAAAGAAAGCATGCTATGGTTGTATCATTTAAGGACACGTGATGTGACTTGTTGAAAAGCTGGACTATGCTGATGTATCGTGCTTCCGCGAATTCAAGCAAACAAGCTGGACGTTGATCCCCCAAGCAAGGTCGGAATTCGACTCGCGCTCTTCAGTCCAAGGAGGCGTGGAGGCTGATTAGTGAAGTAAACTCTGCCTCGAAGGAGACACACCAAGAAGGTGCATCAGGGTCGCTTCATGGCAAGATGAGCGTTGGCAGGACGAGCTGTGAACGGAGGACCGCAGTGGAAGAGCATCACGATACGAGCAAACAATACTACACAATTTGCTCATATGAAATTGAAAAGATACGCATCCTAGTCTTGAAAGATTGAAACAGGGATGCAACATCTATTTGTGGAAGCAAGTCGTAGTCTCACTGACCACCTCCCTGTACCGTTCACTGCGATGTTGGTCGAATTACATAGAGAAAGCGTCTGTAGCCAGTTGGCATGCTTGGGGACTGCTACTGGAGCTTTGCAGGATTCGCGTGGTTTTCCCCACACAGCTCAACATGTCAGGTCACGATCCTGATAACTATGGTGTGGCATGTTTTGAAGGGCTTTGGTTCGGTGACTGGGAAACCCGAGCGTGCGAGGGTGTTTGCGCACCAGGAAGTAGGTGCTCAGCATGCCGAGTCCACAAACCCGCCCAGCATTTCATTCCTGCAGGTTGGCAGGCAAACAATTGTACTGATTGTTTGCACGAGGGGGACCTGTGTGTAGCCTGAGAAGTTCGAGCTGCGCAAATCACAAAAGGGCAACTGGTCCGTGCAGTGCGCCGCAAGAGTGGCACCGCAAAGGCGTCAGTCACACTGGGTACTGGGCACTGTGGACTCAATTCGGAATCCAAAGATAGCGTGTTAGCAAGTCCAAAGAGTGTTGCCAGCAGAAAAGGCCAGGTGTCAACAGTTTTCCCGATTCACTTGATGTTTGGGAAATGTGTTCCATGGCTGCTTCCGGCAAAACCGTGGCATTTGTGATCGCAAAATCCACTGCGAGACTCCACAAAGCAGACCCGCTTCGCGGTGACGCGCTGTACAAGCACATGCCGCTTTTCGCTGCTGCACGCATAGTTTCCGTTGCCAGGTTGAGTCAAATACATTGCTCCTAGGCCCCCTTCTCTGGATCCCATCCACCCGCAAAAATCAGTCCCTGGCTCACCCAAACCCATGCTCCAGATGCTCTCTGCTGCGAGCCGGCCCCAGCCCTGCCCGGGGCTTCCTGCGCAAGTTCAGCCCGCAACATCTGGCACGACGGCAGATCCTGTCCATTGCTAGCTTCTTGCAGGCACCCCCTGCGTTGCTTGGCTCCATGACTCGCACCTGTGAATTGCCACTTCGCCAGCGCTGTTCCTTCCTTTCGCATCGCTGATGCTGCGTGCTGGGCTTGCTGGGCTTGGCCAAGGCGGGCAACGCGAAGCGTTTACAATTGGTTGTACGAGTACGATCAGAATGAGGTGCGAGTCAAGATGACATACTCGTGTAAGCAAGGGGAGAGCCTTCTCTGGGTCTCCTGTGAAGCCTGCAAAGCATGTCTGAGTTTGTGCCATGCCCTCATCGCCTCCGGACTGTCACACACATTGCAGCCAGCTGCGCAGCGATTGCAAGTACCTCCGATTTCTCCATCTGGGTGCGAGTAGTAGCCAGGCGGGCAGACAGCTGCGCATGTTGACATCGGTGTTAGGAATGTTGAGTTCCTACAGGGCTTGCCGCTTCCACAGCTTCAGCCAGTGTTGACCCGATTCCCTCACTCTCAAAATCTGAGCAGAGCAAACCGCCTCAAGGCAACCCCGTCCTGCACTCTGTGCAAACATCTGCACTTGTGCACTGGCTGCAATTCTCTGAGCACAACGGACAAGCGCCGCCGAGTCCACCGTGTCCAGGCTTTGCATAGTAACCAGTTGGACAGCTCGCACTGCAGTTTCCAAATGGCGTGAGGTGGAGATGCATCTTGCACTGTGCACAAACCTTCGCTGTGACAATAGGCTCAATGACTTTTCAGGGCATTACAAATATTATCACATTGTATACTACATACGTGTGTGCGTGTGTGTGTGTGTGTGTGTGTGAGCCCAGGAAAATTTCCCCCAAGAGAACACAGCAAAATTGGCACCCCCTGTTGTTCTGTTGCAAAACTGTGGCAAAATCCTTGGTGCCCCACATGTCCTCCCTAAACCAACAATAGATGTTCGGATTGTTTTGAAGGGAAACCAAAGGGAAACCAAAGGGAAACCAAAGGGAAACAGCCGTTGTTGTTTAGTTTTGAAACAAAGCCGTATTGATTCAATGCAATCACACAAACTTCCGGGTTGTTAAATAATATATATATATATATGTATTAAGAAAAAAAAAATGTCAAGCCATGGCCTCTTTGTCATCGCATGCATTGCAGTTGTCTGCGCAACGTAAACATATACCACCAATGTCACCTGTGACATTGGGATAGAACGAAGGCGGACAAAACTCTTCGCACGTGTTGCTTGGAGTAAGAACCGTGGAGTCCTTGCACTCTCGGCAATCAGATGCGGAGTCGCAAGTATTGCATGTGGATGGGCACCTCTCACATGTGCGGCCAATGACCAGGTTATCGCCAGCATTTGCAAAGTAGCCATCAGGACATAGTGTCTTGCAAGTGGAGCTCGTCGGATCCAAGTACTTCTCATCGCCACACACCAAACATACTGATTGGCTGGTGCATTCCTGACAGTTGTCGGAGCATTTATTGCACAGCCCGCCCACATACTCTGTGCCATACTCATAGTAGCCGACAGGGCAGTCACTATGACACCAATCATCCGGTGCAAGGTATGTAAAGTTGCGGCACTCTGTGCACGTGTTCGCATCAGTACACTGGCTGCAATTCTCGGCACATATGGGACAGGATCTGCCTTGCATGCGCATTGCCAGAAAACAAAGCACTAGCCGCAAAGTGAACTTACTGAGGCTCTCAAAACTGAACAAGCGGACACCTCAAAGAGACAACTTTCAAATCCCAACATGCGCAAGACACCAACTCATCAGGCTACCAACGAAAATATCCACCGCGCACAACAAATGAGGTAAGGATAAACAAATCCAAGATTCCGAAATCTCCAGTACCATTGTGATAGTAGCTATCCGGACATTGGGCTTGGCAGGTGCTGTTCGGAGTGAGATACATCGAATGAGCGCACTCCAAGCACACATCCCAGCTGCTGCATTTTGAACAGGAGGCATCACATTCTTTGCAGGTCCGCCCTCTGTCTTCCATACCATCATGGTAGAAACCATCAGGACATGTTTGGACACAGTTGCCATCCGCATCCAAGTACATTGAGTTGTTGCACTCTGTGCACAGTGTGGCTGACTCGCACTTATGGCAATTGCGTTCGCAGGGCGGGCAGGTCCGTCCTGTTTCGCCACTGCCAAGCTCAAAGAAGTTGTCTGGACAGAGCGCCTCGCAATTTCGACCTGGTGTGAGGTACTTGTTATCACTGCACTCTGTGCATTCATGCTCATCAGTGCATGTGCGACAATATGCTTCACACTTTTCGCAGGTGTTGCCGATGGAGGCATTTCCGCTCTTGTAGTAAGAGGCAGGGCAATCTTCTTCACACCAATTCCATGGAGTCAGAAACTGTCTATTTTGACACACTGTGCATGTGCGCGCATCATCGCACTGGCTGCAATTTGTGGCGCACCTTGGGCAAAAGCGCCCGATTTCACTTTCGCCACGTGGGTAAAATCCTGACGGGCATCTCTCCTCGCACTTTCCGTTCGGGGTGAGGTAAAGTGAGCTTTTGCACTCTGATGCAAAGCTTGCATTGATGCATAGGTTGAACTGCGGAGGGCACTTCTGACATGTTCTGCCATCAGGGTCGGCTCCAAGATTGAAGTCACCGTCTGGACAATGCTCAACGCATTCACCTGATCGCTCCAAGAACATGGAGTTGTTGCATTCTGTGCCTTGGTTCTGCATGAGCCGTTCTGTCGATCGAGTGCGCAAGTCATGCCTGTCCCTCGTGCTTGAAAGTTATCCCTTAAGGGCGCCGCATTGCGTGTCACTGATGCACTTGCTGCAGTTCTCTGCACACATCTCACAAGTGCCTCCAATAACATCCATTCCGAACTCCCAGTAGTTGTCCTCAGCTCGACACGACACGCAATGCAAGAAAGCACCCTGATTGCAGGAGAGAGAGAGAGAGAGAGAAAGTGATATATGTTGTGCTGATGGTTTCAACCAAGAATCTGGACATTCACTTTCACACTTGAAGTCTGGAGTCCGAAAAGTGTACCTCAGTCATGGGTATATCTCAATTGCCTGTCTAAATCACTGCCTGAATCAAACATGGAAAGCCTTGGGACTCGAAAGCGATTCAGCTCTGTTTCTGAGTCTGGCACCTCTTGCACTCAGTACAATAATCTGCACTGTTGCACAAATTGCATGTCGGCGGACACAGCTTACACAGCCCACCTACGCCATCTGTGCCGTTGTCCGCGTAGTATCCATCTGGGCACGTGTCTCTACACCAGTCGTCAGGGTTGAGAAAGGTGTATTGTCGACACTGAGTGCAGCTGGTGGCTGATGTGCACAAACTGCAGTTGCTGTTGCATTGGCGGCACTCTCCCCCCACGCCATCTATGGGCTCAAGCGGATACTCCCCAGCACCACAAGTTTTGTCACACTGGTAGGTGAAGGAGGAATGATAGGTATCATCCTTGCACAGTGTTGCCACTGTCTCGTTAATGCAGGTGCTGGCATGGTTTCCACAGGGCTGGCAATAGCCCCCAACTCCTCCTGTATTCTCTGGCATGACATAGAAATAGCCACGGCCACAGGTTGCTCCACAGGTTGAGTCCGGGTTCAGGTATTGATAACTTTGGCATCCGGTGCAAATCGTGGGGGTGATGCAGCTGCTGCAATTTGCGCTGCAGGGCTCACAAGTGCCAAAGCTTTTGCCCAGCTGCAGACTCGGGTACAAACCCTGCGGACAAGTCTTCCCACAAGTCTCAGATGGAGTCAGAAACATGTCGCTGACACACTCCGTGCAATTCTCCGCACCGATGCACTGGCTGCAGTGCTCCGCACATGGCTGGCAAGTCCGCATGTAGGCACCGCTGCCAACACCATAAAAGCCAACGGGGCATTCCTCTACACAAAGCGAATCGCTTGTAAGATAAGCATCTTCACTGCAAACTTGGCAAGTGTGGGAGCCAGTACATTTCCAACAATTGTCTGCGCATGGTAAGCACTCACCACCCACTCCAACCGCGCCGGCAGGTGTCGAAGGATAGTACCCCGCAGGGCATCTTGCCTTACATACACCCTGTGGTGTGAGAAGCTTCCCGTTTTTGCATTCCAAGCACAAATCCTCACTCACGCACTTGGCACAGTCCTCCTCACATTTCGTGCACGTGCGGCCAACATCCCTGGTTCCATCTCCATAAAAGTGGACAGGGCACGTTTCGCTGCACTTCCAGTCGTCAGTGAGGTAGGTATTGTTATTGCAAACCGTACAGCGGTCTGGCGATTCACACGCCACACAGCTTGGAGGACATGGAAAGCAAATACCGCCGGTGGGCAAGCTCTCATTGGGAGAGTATGGATAGTACCCTGTTGGACACAAACTCTCACAGGTCTCCAAGTGAGTCAAGTACTTTCGGTTGGTGCACTCCGTGCACTGGTCTCCGCTTACGCATTTGCTGCAGTGCGGCTTGCATCTCTGACACTTCCTGCCCTTGTCCTTTACACCAACGCCATAGTATCCATGTGGGCAGTCTGCTTCACAAGTCATGTCTGCAGTAACATAGAGATTTTCTGTGCACTCTGTGCAAAGGAATGCATTCACGCACATAGCACAGCCAGATGCACACTTTTGACCTCACACTCAAGAGGAGGCGTGCCTGCTTGGCTCAAGACTAACCACTACACTCCATTGTCATATGACGTATGAATGATTGCTTCAACCCGATCTGGCAAACTAAGTCACAGACATTTGCCCTTGTCATTCTTGAAAGAGCCAGCGTCGCATGGACTGGAGCAGGACTTGTCTCCTTTGGAAAACTTATAACCTTGATTTTGCAAGCAACTCTGAAACGTGTCATTACAAGGATTGCCAGCGTGTGCTCTCCAAGTCTTGAAACAAAACGTCTCATATAGCCGCATCATTTGTGCAAGACCTGGCGCCAAATGCAGTGGGCTCACCAACTAAGCTTCTGACCGTCAATGCAGCTCAAGCACTCGTCCGCACTCACGCACGTGGCGCACTCTGAAGGACATTGCTCGCATGTTCCATACGTGCCATCCTTGTTCCCTGTTTTGCCGTAGTTGCCATCTGAGCACTTTGCCACGCATGTGTTCGATGGATCAATACGGGATTTGCCTTTGTTGAGAGCACAACTGCCAAGGAAATGTAAAATTGCCAAACGAAAGCGCCAACAAAAAACTGAACCTGACAAGTCGCTATTCAAGTACTTGCTGTCGGCACAGACTGTGCAGCTGTCAGGCCCATCACAAGAAGCACATCCGTCTGGGCAAGGAATGCATATGCCACCTGTCAAAGGCTGCTGTGGGCTCAACGAGAACTTCCTCACACGTGCTGAATGTCTTCAACACACATGTATCTGTCTTTCGTGCGAGTATGGTCATGCAGGAGAAACTCGAAGCTTGGTTCAGCACTGAGTCCTAGTCGCACTCTTTGTGACCCTGAGGAGTTCTGGGGATGTCCTGTCTGCTGTTGCTATGTATGCACATGCGAAGAAGAGGCACAAAGCACCAACATCAATTGCACAAAAGCCTGAAAATGTGCTGCAACGTCATTTTTGGGCAACAGTAGACCCCGAGCAGCTCAATTGCGCAATGTCCGCAACGTTCAGCAGCATGCGCGCATGCGCACCAGCATGCCGATCCATAAAACAGTGTGCAGGGCCTGGGCCACGTCAAGGCCAAGAACAGCCGCATGTTTGTCAGTGTTTGTCTCTTTCATATGTATATATGTATATGTGTACTATTACATAAATACATACATTTACATATGTGCATATACGTATTATACCATATGCATAAATATATATATATATATATGTATATATACATACATGTGTTAAACTTGGAGCAGCTGTGCAACCTAGATGCCTGAAGTGTAAACCTGTGAGTGAAGCGAAGCGCTGTTACTTTTGCTGCGGGCGATGATGTACCAACTACTCCAGCTGTACCAAGGCTCAAGGCCTTGATTGTACAAAGCTGCATTCCAGGTGTATCGGGATGCATGTATCTCAACACGCCTCCTCAGGATAATGTATCTCATGTACATTCTCCTGAACGGTTGAAAAAGATGATGTAGCTGCTGTACACGGAGCGCAGTACAAATCCCTTGTGGTTCGTGGTGTCAAAAGCAAGTGTCAAACAGCTACTGTTTCAAGCAGATGTTGTATCAAGCTATTCGACTGTGCCACTCAAGTGAGAAAATGTATCGCCTCAAAGTTGCTGTTGTATGGTCCATGATGTTCATTCGCAGTCGCTGTTGTAACCGCGTCCATGGCTGCTGCCTGTGTAATGAGCTCCTCCCTGCACTTGTTCATCTGGCTGATGTGTTCAGGGTAGAATTCCTGATTCTGCATGTAGCACCAGGCGCGGTGATCCTGGTGTCCCCTGATGCGCTCGATGTCTTTGATTGCCTGCGCCCGAACCGACACATTGCCTGATGTCTGCAGGTAATGAAGTACCGCATCGCGATGCTCTGCGCTGATGGAGAATCTGTAGGCCCGAGTACTCCATCACCTGTGTCATTGCAGCATGGACTGCGTCATCATCTGTTCCAGTCTGTAGGTCGCTCAGGTTGATGAGGGCGTTGTAGTCCCAAGCGAAACCGTTGGTCCATGAGAATCTCTTGAAGATGTCCAGGATGTTGCGATGGCAGATTTCTCAAATGTGTACCGACTGCTGATCGAAATCGTCGAACTGCCACTTCTTGTTGTAGCGGTGCTGGAGATGGAGGGTCTGGTACCCTCTGTTGAATGCGCTCATCTGGTTCTTGCTCAACCTGGCGATCATGTGCCTGGTGTTCGGCTGAAAGCCGATGATGTACAGCTTGTCCAACTGTGCGGATGCGATCGTGCGCTCACTGAAAAAGGTAAAGCAAAATTGTAAGAGAGTCAAATAGGCAGGTGTTGTAGATCATGTGCTCCAAAAATGGCTTCCTCATGTTGGCCTGTAGCCCAGTGTAGTCTCCCTTCAAACTGATGTATTCCTCTGCAGTCAAAGCGATGTACAAAACGTTGTTTGTATCAGCAGTCCTGTTGATGCGCCACTCCACGATGTCGCGCGCCTCCTTGCCATTGACACGCCTAATTTTGTAAAATCTCACAGATGTAAGCGACGTCAACAACTGCGTGTCGTAACGCTTTCCGGTGCGCTCATCTGATGTAGCAAGGGCGGTCAAGGCCCGCATGTCCATGGTCCGATGTGCCAGAAAGAATGTGTCTCACTGATGTAAAAGGTAAAAGGCTGCGGAATGTGACAAATCAATGTCCGACATGTATCACGCAGAAAACTATTGTAAAAGGGGGTTGTAGCACTCCCAGAAAAGATGTACCATGGCTCCGGATTTCCTATGTGAAACTCAGTTGTAGCGCTTTCACTTTGGCTGTACAAGAAGGGTAACCTGTGCAACTGATGTTTAACATACTGCGCATACTGTGTGAAACTGGTTGTGTTGACCTCACAGGCCGACTGTGTACAAGTGCTTGCTCAAGGTGTCACAGCTGACAAATTTAGTCAGTATGTCAGCTGGGTTTTCTTCGGATCTTACTTTGCGCATTGTGATGATTTTGCTCTTGACAAGTTGTTGCGCGAAGAGGCGTCGCAGCTCGATGTGCTTTGCTGTCTTCGACGCGCCTTGTCTCGTCGCTATTGATTTTGCTGCGCTGCTGTCTGTGTGTATCCTGATGTTGGTGCGTACTTCAAACGCTTCTTTGATGAAGTTGAGTGCTATGGTTGCTTGTGTTCTGCTGCCATAGTGTACTGCTGCTCCAAAGAAGCACAGTACAAATCCCGTTGCGCTTTTCCTTGTTGTCTCGCATGATGCCCAGTTGGCATCTGTGTATGTGTCAATGTTGGGTGGAATTCGCTTGTCCTGTGTTTGCATTTTTGGTCGCAGGTTGTGTCGCATGTACCTTGTTCCTTTAAGGTATCTGATCATGCGCTTGAGCTTCTTGCTGTCGAGTTGTGTTGGTGCTTGTAGTGATCTTGCTAGCTCTTATGCTCCATAGCTGATGTCTGGTCGTGTGTGCGCTAGCCATTGTATGTTGCCAACAAGTCGCTTGCGCTGCGCTTGGTCTAGTGTCATCTTCTGCTGTATCTTTCATGTGTGACACTCCTGGCGATGGTGCTGGGTTGCATGTAGTCATTCCTGGCTCCTCCAGGATGATGTCAACATAGTTGTTGTTCAAGCTGATGTCAATGTAGTCGCCTTTGTGTGAGATCTAACAAGGAAATGTATTGTTGATCCCTTTGTTAGGTCGCCTGTCTGTCTCAGCAGGACTTCCTTTTGCATCCTGCTGAAGAGCGTGTTGATGATGCTCTGTACTCCTATGAAGAGGACGTCGTCTACATAGATCATGATGTGGATCTGTAGACATTGCTTTCTGTTGGTTTAAGTGTGACTGTGAGAATGTGCGCTATGTGGTCTTGCCATTGTTTTGGTGATGATCGTAGGCCATAAATGGCTTTGTTCAGCCGCCACATTATGCGTCTGTTTTCTTCATTGTAGAACTCGTGCGGCGGTCGCATTACTAGGTTGTAGGAGATTGCTGCTGCATGTTGGAATGCAACACTGACATCTCCTGTACAGACCGACCAGTTGCACACCAGCGCCATTGTGAGTGTGCAAAACAATGGTGTACTGGCAAAGAGTCGGTCGTGGTCTGTAACGGGTTCTGTGTAGCCTTTTGCGACTATACGTGCTCGTACTTCATCGTGTTTTTGTTTGAGAACCCATCTTGACTCGATGATGTTTGCCTGTTGTTCTGGTGTCATTGTGTTCCCATCAATCTCTGTGAAGACTGATTGGTCTCTCATCTGTTGCACTTCCTTCTTCATTCCTTGCGCCACTTGTTGTAGGTCCAAGCCTTCTGCGTCGTTTATGATTGGGTCTAGTAGGATCCTTTCATTGTCGGTTTCTTCTGTGTCTTCATTGGATGTTGTCTCCATTTGTTTACCATCCTTTGTCGCGAACGTGATGGCATTAGCTCTCATTTTGCCCTTTGGCTGTTCGGCGGTCGCGGGTCGCTCCAGTACTTGTCTCTCTGCTATGGCGCGCTGTCGCTTGCCTGCGCTGCCTTCTGCTATTGCGTCATCTCTTTCTCTTGCGGGTGATGTAGGCGGTGGTGCTGGCAGTGATGGTCGATTCTGATGCGTTGGTGGTGTAGCCATTGGTGATGTTGGCTCTGCTGTTCTCTTCTGGCTGATCGCTTGCTTGTCCTGCGGTCTGTCTCTTGCCTTCTGCTGCTGCGTCTTTCTGTGATGGTGCCTTGCTTGTAGCTGGCATTGTCAATGGTGTTGTGAGAGTCGGTGTGCGCAGTGCTGATGCTGGTGTCTTCCATGGACCTGTGTGTGCACAGTCCAGTAGTTGCGGATTGTATTTGTGAGGCATGATCTGCCTTCTGACTGTCCTTGCTCTGACAATCTTGTTGTAGACCCCCATGAGGGATCCAAATCCCGTTGTAGAAGCTCGGCTCGAGTTTTGGAAATTGTTTCACTGTTGGTAGCATGTAATGCACTGTCTCACCAAACTCGCAAATTGGTGTATGTTGCTCTCTGTTCCATCTGTTGAAGTAGCTGGTGCATCTATTGCTGTGAACTGCATACCTGTTATGATGTATGCACTGCGTCGAACTGTCCAAGGCGTGAGTGGATGTTTCATTGAAATGTCTCTGTAGTAGTTTTTGCCTGATTTGTGCCTTGAGTGTTCTGATTTGCGCAAACAGTGTTCTGTGCGCTCGCTCTACTCCTCCTTGTGATTGTCTGAGTTCCTTGTGGTGATGTTGCCACTCTTGTTGGCCACTGCTGTGATGAGCGCTGTCAGGAAGTCTTCCTGATGCGATTGTAGTATGGTGCGTGTGGAAGTGCTGTAGCTGTGTAACTGCATAATCGAAGAGCATTCTCTTGTCGGTCAGTTGTAGCGCCACGATCATCCCAGATTGGATGTCAATTGCTGTGAGAATTGATGTACGTCGCTGTCATCAAAGCCTTTGATGTAGCCGAAGTCAAGCTGTATGATTGCAAGCTTGCTGCGTTGCTTTGGGTGATTGTTCTGTCTGCCTCTTGCTTGTGCGCATATTGGACACCAACTCCAATAAGGAAGGTGTGTCACGTTGTGCTTGAGTATGTCCTGTGGTGTTGGTTGCTTGGGTGCGTGTACCGCTTTTGCTTTTGTACCCTGTTCTTGTTCCTCATCGTCTGAAACTCCTGATGTTCCTCAAAGTTTGTCCAGCCTGTCCGTGGCTTGTCTGTTGTCTTTGCTGGCTGTGTTGTCCACTCATCTTCTATAAATCTTGTGTTGTGTCTTTCTCCGACTGGTTGTACCTTGGTCTGTCTCCAAGGTATGAGTCGCTTGATGTCTGGCCCGTCGTGTGTCTGCTCTAGTATGTAAAACGCTGTTCGGGGCTCAACATGTACTCTCTTCCAGTATGGGCCTTCTCTGCGCCAGTAGTCTCCTCCAGGATGTACTTCTGAAGGATGTGGAAGTCCATGTCCAGCTGCACCTTTGGCGGTGTGTGATGCTGCTGACTCCTGTAGTGTGGTGTTGTTTTCTCTCTCAATCGCGTTCGTGGGTTGTATTGGGTCACGTGTTGCGCGACCTTCTGTGGCTCGCTCCTTGGCTGTGTCTTTGTTGCAAACTGTTGCTGTAGTGTTTCTGGCAATGTTGCGCCTTTCTTGATCCTGAATGCTGTTTCTCCTTTCCACATCCGTTGTTGCGCTTTGTTTGGCGACGCTTGTCCTCAAACGTGTTCGTTGTACCATCCTTGAATTTGATGGTTGTTTTCCTGTAGTCCTCAAGTTGCTCTGCTGGGACTGAACACTGTGTTCTTGGTGGTGTGAAAAGTGTCTTCCTGAATTGCCTGTGTGCTCTGACAAGTTCTCTTGTGTGTTGAACTGGTTGTGTGTCTGTAGCGTTGTTCCTTTTGGCAAAGTTGTGATTTCTGCTTGTAGGAAGAAAAGGCCATTTCTGTCCTCCAGTGCGCTGTTGAAACCTTTGATGCGCTGCTTGGATTGTCATCCAGTGTAAGTTGGCAACCTTGTTCCACCAGCCTTGTCACTGAAAGAATTAGCTGTTTAACCTCACAAATGTAAAACGGTATGACAATTTGTTGTCCGCTGCGGTTTGTCACGCAAACCCACCTGTACCCGAAAAGCTTGTGCTCTGAGTTGTGGCCCCGCGCCATGTTCTAGTTGGCGTGGTGGGAACTGCGGCGCAAACCAGGGTGGGCATACATGTGTAGCCGCACCGCTTTCAATCATGAGCCTGACCCATTTGTTGTCTTCTGTCGGTTGTTGTGCTGCGCTAATCATGGCAATTGTTACTTCATGTAGTCCTGAGATGGGTTCTGCTGACGGATCTGCCTGTGGTGGTTGTGGTAACGCTAGTTGGTGCATCTGTGACTGGTCCTGGTGGTACCAGTTGTTGTCGTAGTGTGCCTGGTTGCACCAGTCATCTGTCTGTCTGGTCATTGGTGTCGAAAGTTCCAGTGTCGCAGTTGTAGATCGCCACTCTGCATTGTTTGGCCATGTGTCCTGGTTGTCCGCATCTGTAGCAAACATTCGTTGCGTGTTTCCCTTTTGCTCCTTTTCCTCCTTGTTGGTTGTTGTAGTATCCTTTGCCTTTCCTTTGTTGCTGTATCCTTTTCCTTTGCCATATCCTTGTTGTCCTTTGAACGGATTTCCTTGTCCAACCGGTTGTTGATTGTACTTGCCTTTTCCTCCTGTGTAGTTGGAGTAGCCGTAGTTGTTCCCGTAGCCGCCATAGCCTTTGCCTTTGTTGGGCCTTCCTTTGCCCTTGCGGTTGCCTTTCTTTCCTTTACCTTTTTTGTCGGCGCTGGTCCGTGGTTGTTGCTGCTTGATGCGATTGCCTGTAGCCTGGTGAGTGACGCGGTCGCTCTGTAGTATTCGATCATCATTGATCTGATCTGTGCATATGTTGTGATGTTTCCTGCTTGCAGCTGTAGGTGTTGCTGTAGCGGTCCTTTTGTTTCGTTGAGCAGTATTGCAGTCTTGACTGCATCTGGTAGTGGTGTGTTGTTGTCCTGTTCGTACCTGGAGAGTTGAAACCCCCATGTCGCGAAGCTCTCTTCGAACTTCTGTTCATCAAGTTGCGGTTTTAGCAGCCGTGTGAGGTACCCAATGCTCCTTGTACCAAGTGGTATGGAGTACCTTGCATGTGTCAGCCGCCATGTTTCAAATCCGTTGCATTGCATGTTTTGTCTGCGAATTGTAGATGCTGGTCCATCGCATGCGCTCACTAAGGGGTAGCGCAAGTTGTTGCTCAGTTGTATCCATTGCTCTGCTATTGCTTGTGAAGGTGCTGCTGTCTCAAGTTGGTCATTTGTAGCTGCCAGTTGCGATTGCTCTGACTGTCTCAGCAGTCTCTTGTATGCTGGGTCTTGCAGTCCTAGGTGTGCTGTCATCTTGTACTTCCATGCTTCGAAGGTGTTGTATTCCCCTGTGAACCGTGGTGGTGATATCTTGTATTTGTGGATTCCTTCCAGCTGCTGTTCCTGCTGGTGTTGCTGTTGTTGATGCGCTGCCATGTCGCTCACTACTGTGTACCTGAACCTGTGGGTGCGTGTCGGGGCTCACCCTGGGTTGTGGTCGTTGATCGTGTACCAGGGACCACTGCTCCGCTACCATGTTAAACTTGGAGCAACTGTGTAACCTAGATGCCTGAAGTCTAAACCTGTGAGTGAAGCGAAGCGCTGTTACTTTTGCTGTGGGCGATGATGTACTAAGGCTCAAGGCCTTGATTGCACAAAGCTGCATTCCAGGTGTGTTGGGATGCTCACCTCGGCCCCCAGGGCCGGGCGGTCAGACCCCTGAAGCTTGATGGGATCTTGTAAGTCAAGCCGTCCATCTCCAGCTGCCTCCCCCCTCTGAAGGCCTGAGATCATTGGAATCTTCTCACAAACTGCCCAGCTCCAGCGAGTTCCGGGTGGGCCGGCCTGGGGATGGCCTGCGCAAATCCTTCTTCAAGCCCGACCCTTGTGCAGAGCGTTCCAGCTGGTAGGTGCGGCCCCAGTCCCAGCCCGGGCAACTGCCCCCAACCCGCCACATGCCCCAGCCCTAACTAAGGCTTGGCTTGGCCCCAGTCCACTTTCCTTAAACTACGCGGCCTCGAGGGCGGCAGCCCCAGCCCTGGCTTTGCCCTTAGAATACGTACCCAGCATAGAATTATCTTGGAAACCCTCACGCAGTTCGGCGTCAACTTACTCACTCAAAAAGCACAACATTTGAAGGCAAAATAAAACAGCACTTCAAAATACTGGCACAGGCGGGCAGCGCGATGCGTTTTTTACAAGTATGTGCGGTTCAGTGTTGGCCATGCCAGAGACTATGCTAGGGTGGTTTGGGATAGGCTGGGGAGGCAGACAGGGAGGCCAGGGGGCCTTGTTACATCTGGAGCCAGAAAGAATGTGCCCAGCTTGCAGGCTAATGCTTGAAAAGACGGTACGAGCCATGCCCAGTGTCGATATTTAATGAGCATTCTCTCTGGCCAACTCATGAGTAGGCGAGCCTAACGACTAGAGCAGTGCAAAACCCGTTGCTCCACCAAGAGTCAGCCAACTCCTTTGGCACAACATCTAGGAATCTAGCAACAGGTGCAATGCAAGAGTGGAAAGAGATGGATAAAAGCCCTGAGCAAAGAGCTGAAAGGCGAAGACAAGCATGACTCAGCACAGGAACATTTTGTTGAGCCCAAGTTTGCCGATTGCATTTGCTACCAGGCGGACGCGTTCAATCAAGTGACCAATATCTTACTAAGGCTTCCGCCGACAGAAGGAGCTTCGCCCGAGAAGTCAGGATAGTAGCCTTCTGGACACTCCGAGTCGCAAGCATCACTTGGTGTAAGGAACTTATGGTTCTTGCACTCAAAGCAAACACTATTGCCAGCACATCGATTGCAATCATCAGAGCACGTCTTGCAGATTCGCCCAGTATCCCCTGTTCCATCTCCAAAATAGCCATCTGGACAAATTTCATCACAAGTGTTGTCATAAGTCAAATATGTTGCAGATTTGCACTCTGTGCAGTGCTCTGGGCTATCACATTTGGCACAGTTCTCTGGACAAGCAAGGCAAAAGCTCCCGATTGTTGGGTTATCTTCTGTGCTGGAGTGCACATAGAAGCCATCAGGGCAGTCGTCTGAGCAGGTCCCGTCCGGGCCAAGGATTTGACTATTCTTGCACTCAGTGCACCTTGGACAGCAAGGAAGCAAGGGAAGCAAGGGCAAAGGACTATGCACAGGTAACATCTACTGCACTTCCTGCTAAGCTCTCGACTGTTGGTCAGAGATGCAGCTTGAGCAATTTGCCGAGCACAAATCACATGTACGGCCAATAGCATCAGTTCCGTTGCCCCAAGTTCCCGCAGGGCAAGCCGCCACGCACTCGCTCTGCGCGGTCAAGTACTTGCCTCAGAGGGATGACAATGAGCCCCCCATTTCGCTCGATCACAACTTCCTTCAAGCTGAGTTGCTGTTCCAACACTTCAAGCAGGTCTCTCCATCCACACACTCGTAGCAGTCTTTGTGGCACGGGTCGCAGGTGCCACCAAATAGACCGGTCACTCCCCTTTCGCGGCTCCAATACTGATTGGTTTTCTTGCCCTTGGCCGGGTAGAAGCCAACCGGGCATGATTTCTCGCATGTTTTCTTCAAGCCTCAGGGTTGCAGTTGCATTTTTTGTCTGCAGCTTTTGCGGACGTACACACTTATCTAAAGAAAAAGCTACTCAATAAAATGCTGGTCGCGCCTTTGTGAGAAAGAGCTATCCTGCCAAGCCATTTCTTGGATGTGCCTTGCAGGTAAGCACCAGGCTTACACTGCATGCAATTATCGTCTGTCTGGCATTCGCTGCAATGGCCCTTGCATTCGTGACACTCTCCTCCAATGTGTCCGGATATCTTTGGAAAATGCGTTCTAGGGCATTGCCTCAAGCACTGGCTTTTGTAGAGTAGTGCCCGATTCTTGCAAGATGTGCAGACTTCCGCGTTCTCACACGTGTTGCAGTCGCCAGGGCAAACTACCTTATTCGCATACAAGTCATCAAGATTCCATCAGTACATTGAAAACGGTGTGCCATATTGAGGCCAAGCGACGCATGTCCCACCAACCGCTCCGCCACCTGCAGGTCGCTCCTCGTAGTACCCATCGGGGCACTCCAAATTGCACTCGCCTTTGTGGCTCAGAAAGGCACCGTTTTTGCATTGCGTGCACTCCTTGGCTCCACATCCCATTCGCAAAAGGCAAAGCTTGAACTTGAGACTGTAGTAGTTCTCAAGGACACTGATGACAAGCCGGTCAGCATGACTGACCAAGAGTGAACATCATATATGCGTGAACAGCTGTTAGTTTGACATGCTCACTAAAGCCACAAAAGTAAAGGTTGTGGAATGTGCTATCATGGGCAGCAACATTCGCCCAGCGTCATCTTGGTTTGGCCCATGCTTGCTGGACTGTTGATTTGTCGAGGCAGTCTTTGTCTGGCGCTGCGGTGGCTGTCAGATCACTTCAAACCAACTAGCGATGCAGCCATGTTGAGAGCTCATAATGTCATAGTTGTCCAAACTGCGTGTCTGATGCCATTATACGTCAGGTCTCCGAGGCATGCAAGCTGCGCATCTGTTGCACCGCATCTTCCTTTACGGCTTTGTGTAGCTTGGCTTGTGTTGTCCGCTCATGTGCATGGCTTTGACATCTCCGCAAGGGCATGCTGTTGCAGTGTGTTGCCCGTCCGTCTCATGGAAGTGGATGTGCAGTGTGCGAAACGCAACTGCTGTCACGCAAGGTACAAGAAGGCTATACATATATGTATATATATATATACATATATATATATGTACATGACATGACCGACTCAATGCGCACAAGTGTATGTGGCTTGATACGTGATACTTCTCTCCTACCTCGCTCACTCTCTCTCTCTCTCTCTCTCTCTTTCTGTGTCCTGCCCAATAAGCAACTTGCATCCAAGTGGCGGTTTTCGTGGTACAGGTGCTGCAATTGCCCTCACACAAGACGCATTCCCGACCAATGCTGCTGTCAGCCTCTTTGTCATTCTCCTTCGGATTGTTCGGATAGTGCGTTGCCGGACAAGTCGCTTTGCACTGGTCATCTGGCGTCAAGTACAAAGAGTGTCTGCATTCGGTGCACTTCTCCAAGAGCTCGCACTGATTGCAAACATCAGGGCATTCTGCACACTCCCCACCAATCAAGCCATCTTCTGAACGGTTCTTGTCGACCATCCCCATTTTGGGATATCTGCGATTGATATGAGGCGGCCAACAGTACTCTCTCTCCACACAGCTTGAATCTGGAGTCAAGAATCGCCCGTTTTTGCACTGCTTGGCAAGAATGGTGAACTCTTCCTCCGGAGGCCTGACAACGAAGCTGGCAATGTGCTTTGCTTGTGGAAAGAAGCATGTGCTGTGCTGCACGACTGAGTTCGGAGCGCATCGCTGTCCTCCTCCAAGGATGCAGCTTGCCGACGCAGCTTGGCCTTCTGGTCTAAGGCGTTCTGGCAGTTCTCTTCATTGAATCGGCATGCGAGACACGTGCCTCAGGATTTCAATTGAGTTGCAGCTTCGTGCGGAGTGAGACGGGCTTGAATGAGTAAACAAGCTCTAAGACAGGCACGACCTACTGCTTGATCCACGTCCTGCACAGTATGACTGGTTCAAAACGGTTCCTAGCCATCTGCCAAGACTTTGAACAACTACAGGGTATCAGTCCTGGTGCGGATAATTCGAGAAGAAACCACGTGGGCATTCATCTTCGCAGGTGAAGTTCTGTGTAAGGAAAGCAAAGGATCCACACCGCAAGCACCTGCAAAGAGATGAAAGGATGAGAATGCAAAGTGCAGTGCAAACAAGGCTATCCAAATGCTGGCCTTTCAGCTGATGTGCACAACAAGCAAGGCTCCACGCACTTGGTGCATAGTCCCCCTGACTCTGATGGATCACCGGCTGGGTAATAGCCATCAGGACATGTCTTTGAGCACGTCATGTCGGGCGTCAGAAAATGGAAGGGCGCGCATTCGGTGCAGATGTCGTTGGACGTACACTTTATGCATTCCTCCCTGCACCTCAGGAAAAGAAAGTTTACAGAATTCACGCTGCAACCTACACTGCACTTCTGGCCTGGAGCAAAGTCCCCCAACTTCCATGGTTCCGTTGGGCCAGTATCCATCAGGGCAGTCAGCCTGGCAAGCGGGAACAAAACTACGTGACTGAGCTTGCTGTTTGACTGTAAGGTTTCGCACACAACACACGCTTCGCCGTCGTTTGAATCGGAGAGAAAGCTCTATTCTACTCAGTCTCAGGATAGAGCTGGGCAACCTAAGAAAATAAATAGCCTGCTCAAATACTCAACTTTGGACGATTGGCCTCGCAGGTGCTGTTGGGTGTCAGGAACTTGTACTCTCGGCATTCCGTGCAAACATGTTCACTCTCGCACTGGCTGCATGCGCTGATACATTCTGGGCAAATGTTGCCCACTTCGTTGGTACCATTCCTTTGTTGACATGGTCGTCTTGAAACATCCAACGATAGAAAATGTCTTGCTGTCTAAGCACACGACATCACAGCTCAATACGCAAAGTGCAATGCAGGCAAGCAGCTTGAAATAGCCTGGCGGACATTCTGCGCTGCAAAGAGCTCGAAAGCTGAGACTCCGCGAAGCAGAGCACTCAGTGCATTGACCATCCATAGTGCAGGAGCTACCTTGCATTGTGGCAAGGCTTCAAATCCAAGAAATGATCCGCCAAGGGTCGCGATGTGTACTTCAGGGAGGGCCATTCCCACCACCAAATCTTGTCTGAGTGACGGCACAAATGCGGATAGCAATGGTAACTTTAAATCGGAGGGTTTTGGAGCTTGTGTTGATATGCTGTGGCGTGTTCTCAGTTTATGACTGTTGGTGGGACGTTCTACAGGGTGAGATTTGACGGCATGGCACCATGTCGACTTCTGCGGCGATCATGATTTTGCTGCATGCTTTAAGCGTGGTTTGTGGCCTGCTTCATTGTTGAGCACGCGGCCAGGATGAATGGACACGGCTTCCTTGGTCTGGCTCTGCCTCGTTGCTGCGCAGGCTTTCTCATGGCTTCGGCATCTTTGGGGGCTTCCCCGTGAATGGAAGCAACTTCTCTCAGGCTCTGGTTTGGAAACGTATGCGTCTATGCGTTGAGACTGGGTTTTTCGACGTATATTGTAGATCATGCCCGTGTCGGCTTTGAGCTTTGGCGGGCCAACTTGATAACCATTGTAACTTATAACCTTTCATGCTTGGCGCGAGGTGCGTTTGCGCAAAAACTCTGGTCAACTTGACTTTACTCCTGGGCGGTCAACAACCGTAAGAACCTTGATCAGCATCCCGATTCGTTTTACCAAGCTGCAGTGGCTGGGGCATGGCGTGCAGAAACGGGTAGCTCCAGAGAACACCGGGTGTGTTCGTGGAAGCTTCTCGTAGTAGGTCTGGCTGCCCTGCCTGAAAGGCCACTGGAAACAGGAACTTCATAAGTGTTGACAAAAACATGCCACCTTTAAGCTCTAGTTTTACCAACCTCCATGCCTGGTCAGCTTGCTGAGGTCCCCTTTCATGTAACACTTGCCGTCCACAATCTCAAAGCCACCACATCCTTCTGCTGCGGCGCACGCAGCGCAGCATTTGTCTGGATTTGTATCACTCACCATCATGACGGTGTCTGTCATGCCGGAAGCGGCTTCTGAGAAGGTTCCGAGATTGTAGCGCTTGGCAAAGAAACTGGTGCACACAGAGTCACGACTGTCTGCACCGTAGAAGCCATCTGGACAAGACTTGGTGCACACCTGATCTGCAGCAAGGAAGAAATCATCAGTGCACTCCAGGCAAGTGTCTTCACTTGTGCATGATGCACAGCCCAGCGGGCATGGCAGGCAAGCTCGGCCGACCTTCCCTTCCCCATGCGGATAACTCCCCACAGGGCAGCTAGTCTCACACTGGAAGAAAGGTGTCAAGTACCGAGAGCCCCTGCATTCATTGCACACAAGGGGCCCGCTGCATTTGGTGCACTTGGGGTCACAAGCGCGACATAAGCCGCCGCTGACTCCATTGCCCTCACCATAATATCCTGAATCACCCAAGTCAAGGTCTTCAAAGAAAACAAACTGAAAGATGCAGAATTGCAAAAAAACAATCTTTATTCAACACATAATTGCCAAAATAAGGCAGAGAACCATCAGGACAGGTGGTTTCGCAGGCAGCATCGGTCGTAATGTATGCATCCACAGTGCACTCATCGCAGGTAAACCAATCCGAGCATGAATTACAATTGGGCGAGCATGGTAAGCATGTCCGACCAATAGCTCCAATCCCGTGCTTGTAGAAGCCAATGGGACAGTCGAGCTCACAGGTATTGTTGGGCGTCAAGTACATGGAGTGTTTGCACTCCAAGCCTGAGCTTGCATGCTTTGCCAACTGCTAGCTGTTGTTTGATTTAGTTGCTGCCAAACGGTAGACTTTGCACTACTTTGCACAGCACATCGATTTATCAGACCAAGTGTCACTGTGCAGCCTCTTGACATCTGTTGCAACTACCACCACAGGACACACAGGTCCGAGATGGTCCTCTAGAGGAAAAGAAGCCCAAAGGACAGACTGCTACGCAATTGCCACTCGTAGGATCTAAGCCTCGGGTCAACACATCAGCTAGTCTCATGGACTCTAGCGCTTTACATGCACGACGTGCTACATGCAAAATCTGGGCATCAGACTCATAGAGTGGTCACACACGCTACAAAGCCCGCTCTCCGCGGCGCATGTTTTGCAATGTAATCGACAATTCTCAGCATCTTCCTCATTGACGCCAAGCTGTCGCATCAAGCTTGGCATATGAAAACTATCCACCGACCGGTTATCCTTAGTGCGCAAACCAGTCAAATTGACTCAGTGCCATGAGCTGCAAAATTCACAGCCGCACACATCTCCTGCTCTTTTCTTTCTCTCTCTCTCTCTCTCAAGAACACATTGCTGCTATGTCAGCTTTGGCCATGGTTCGGTTGAATTCATTTTTCTCCTCTTCATGGAGGAGGAATTCAAGGAAACTATCGATGCCCGAATGCCTCGATCTTCTGCGTGCTGGTGTGATGGGTTCCTGTGAATCATGTGTTTCGCTGACGACACCGCCATCAAGGCCAGAAGAATAGTCCATTGGACCCTTCTGAAGCTACAGCCTTAGCACCCCATAGCGATCAACTGGCAAAAAGTTTAGCAGCATGCATGTCTCCAGCAGCGTATTTCAGAAAAGCTGAGGTTGCGGCTTAAGGGAGACAAACCTGAGCCAGCTGTGGATAGTTCGTCAAGACTGTTACTTCACGTTTGTATCTTGCCAAGGCTCTTATATGGAAGCTGGTGAACGAGGTCATCGTTCAGGTGCTTGGCCCATTTGAGCCAAACTGAAGTGGGCACAGTGTGCTGCAAATTGTGCGCATGACCAGCTGTTTCTACATTTTACGCTGCTTGAACTGCCGAGAGCATGTGGAGGAAGGAAGAGGTAGAGATGGATGAGTGGGTGAGAGATGGATATGAGAGCCACAACACAAAACGCTCTCATCTCTATCCATATCTCATCCATGCCTCACTCCTTCCCAACCACTCCATCTCGCCAATTGGCGAGGAGAGGAGGAAGGAAGGAATGGAGGCATGTCTTTTCATATTTCTCTCTCTCTCTCTCTCACTCACACTCTATCCTCACCAAAGGGAAAGTGAGCATGGGTGAGCGAGTTAGGACAATATGAAAAGATGCTGGATGAGATAGGAATGGTATGAAAGAGACAATGCCATCTTATTCACATCCCACGCTCTTATTCGTACCTCTTCTCCGGAACGAAGAGACGACAGGGAAGAGCCGCCACTACGATGAGGCTCTGAAAGGATGAGGTGATAACAGGTAAAAAGAGATGGGAAGAGAAGGGACCCATTCACCTCACTTCTCTTCCTTTCCTAGCCATAAGATAGGCTAGAAAGGGATAGGTGAGTCCATGGGAAGGAATAAGCCAGTCCATGATAAAGAAATAGGACATGCTTCTTGCTTATTCCTTTCCCCGAATCAAGGGTTAGTCGCATCACCATTAATTCTCTGGGACTTGCCGCTAAGACGAAAAGAAAACAATAAAATGATGAAGGATGAAGATATGAATGAGATGGAAAGGTGAAATGCTTTCCTAATCTCATTCCATCCTTCATTATCCCTTCCCTTTCTATCTTCTTTCTATCCCATATTATTTCCCTCGCCATTTGGCGGCTGGAAATAATGGGATGAAAGGGAAAGGGAAGAAGGATGTGAATAGGCGGGAATGGAAAGGCTTCCATCTCTTTCTATCCCATTCCTCACCATCCTTCACGATCCTTCCCATGTACTTATCTGTTACTTTGGGAAGGTTAGAAGGAAGGAAATGGAGAGTGAATAATATGTTATTACTTTCCTGTATCTTCCTGTCCCTTCATAACACAAACACCTCTATTCTTGGATATGTTGGTGTTAGGAAAGGAAAAAGAGATAGGAAGATAAAAGATATGCTGTTCCTTTCTCCATTTCATTTCTGGTATCATTTGATTGGGAGAAAGAAGTATGAAAAGCAATTCAAGATCTTATCTGACTGTCTCTTCCTTGTCCTTTCGTTAAATCTCAGAGCTGAGACTCGCCAACAAAGGAGAAGGAACATATGAGAATTCCTAAGATTAGAAAAGGAACTAGATAAGAATGGATTTGGAGAGCTGTCTTTCATCTCCAATTCCCTTCATTCTTGCATAGAAGATGTCCAAGGACCGTTGGAGGGAAGTCAAAAAATAGCATGAGAAAAAACAACATAAAAAGAAAAGAAAAATGAAAAAACTAGTTTGTTGTTATTGTTATGTAAGTATTCTTCTTTGGAATTTGTGTGATCTATTGTCTTAAAATGAATTATTCCAAGAATTGTATATGAGATGGTAGTATACTCAACAGGGAAAGAAACACAGCGAACCAGAAGCCGGGACCCTTATTAACCCCAGTCCGGTAGGCGAGCGCAAACCCTGGTTTTGATCTGGGCATCTTGAGCCAAATGGGCATTGCCATTTGACAAATCCATGCAAGGCAAAGGAGCCTCCAACATCACACACATGCACACCCTTCTGGGGTACCTCTTTGGGGGTCAAGGGGTCGTGATTATTCAACTCCCCCCTCCCCGCACTCACTAAGAGACTTGTACTTTACAGTCGCGCTTGAGCTGCGACCTGATGCAAGGTCCTTTACCAGACCATGAAGAGGGCTTACCTATGATTTTGCATTTTTGGTTACTGCTTGGACATCTCAGGCCGGACATCTTTCAACTTTTCGGGCAAATTGGTTCTGATGCCTAAAAGCTTTAGAGCGTGGTCCCACTTCAAGGGCTGCAGTGCTTTTGTGAAGATGTCGGCTGCCTGGAGATCGGTAGCTACGTACTTGATCACTACGCCCGTGCCGGGTTCAAGTTGCTCAGCAAGTGCGGACAAGTTCACTTTATGAGTGCGCTGTGTGTGCCGCATTTTGGGGGGAGTAACCTTTCTTGGCAACGAGGATAGTGGCTTGGTTATCTTCGTGTAGTACCAGCTCAACCGGGCGTTCAAGCAAACGTTCCCACATGGTCAAGGAGGGAAGACCCTCTTGATACAAAGAGAATGTGAGCGAAACGACCTCGGCTTCGGTGGTGGATCTCGACACAGATGTTTGTCGTTTGCTCAACCACGCTAAAGGAAAATGGGTATTCGGTCCTTTGAGGACCAAGAAGCCACCGGACGTGGACTTTGCATCCCTTTCTCCAACATAGTCGGCATCCGCACACAGAGCGAGGTGAAGATCTTGCGGGTTGTCCTTTATGACTCCTACCAACCGGTAGTGCGTAGTCGAGTGGATATACGCGATAAGACGGGCGAGCTGCCTATCGTGGTTGCGAGACCACTTCTGCACGGCGGTTGCTAGGTCACCTATGGGCTTGATGATGTCCGTCTGGACAGAACGGAGTAGTTACCTTCCGGAGCTTCTCGGGCTGAGTGCCGGTTATAGAACAAAACAGTTCTACAGTTTGACGGGCATAGTCATTCATGTCAAAGGCGACGGCACCCTTTAATGCGCTTACAGCTGCATTCAGATCATGCTCTTGAGGCTCTGCGGGGCCATCTATAAAGACATGATTACGCCCGAGCACCCGAAAGATCGGCTTGGGAGGCTCTACATTTATCATTTTTGTAAGCTTTTCCCAAAAGGCTTCGTGTGCATCTGCGGGACCTGAGAGGGTCAAGTCGCTCAGGCGGGAGTTCAATCCACGTCTGAAACTGCGAGCTAAGGAACGCCTGGACGTAGGCTTTCACCGCATCAGCAATAGTGACCGAGTGTCCTGGGATGCACCCAGAAACCAGACAGGCGTTTAGGCCTTGTACCAAGGTGGGGTTGGCCCCCAGTTCTTGGTACACCGCGGGCGCGCCGGCTTCATCTTTTGCACAGTCTCCCCTGAACACGATGCGCCCCTTACCTTTTGTAGGTGCTTCGCAAGTTCATAGAACTTGATGCTGGCGATCGTCATGTCATGAGCTGACCAAAGTGCACCTTGATCCCAGACTGTCGCGCTTGAGCTGCGACCTCAGCCCTCTCCCGGACAGTTGAACTATCCCATACTCCGACGTCTTGGAGTCCGGTCGCCTCCTGCTTGATTGCTTCCAATGCTTCAGGAGATGCAAGCATCTCGGCAGTTTGGTCACCATTGCATGCGCCTCTGTTTCGACAGCCTTGGCGGGCATGTCGACAGCATTGGCAAGTAGACGTTCCTCGACAATCTCTTTTGTTTTAGAGTCTGATTCGACGAGGAGGGTGAATTCATCTGCTCCGGGAAGAGGAGATTCGTGCTTTAGGGATTGCTCCTTAACACGATGCTCCGTCTGCTGAGTGACCGGAACAACAGGCATTGCTTGAACCGGAGTCCTACAAACTTTGGGACACAACGCTTTGGCGATCAAACCACACATTTGCTCAGGGAAGAATGCAGTGCGGGAGGTTCGGCTCTGCCGCTGGAGTATGTTTTTCGGACTTTGAGTGTGGACACTGGCGATCAGCGAATGCTTCGGCAAGGGCCTTTGATGTAGTTTTGATGCGCCAAGGCTTCTTGATGGGTGAACCATTTTCATCCGTCAAACCAACAGCACAGCCATGAAACGAGACACCATGGAACACATCCTTGTGGCGCATCTGGCCTCTGCCAGCCTTCGCAATCACGCGGCCACTCGAAAGTGACTGATCCACCAGCCTTCAAAACATGCTCTGCGCGCAATGCAAACTTTGAAAACATCACTTTGGATCGCTTGACTTTTTCCCCTAACTTTTTCTTAAACGGCTTTCCCAACCTGTGGAGGTTCAGCCTCTGCCAAGGTGATCCTGAGACACATGGAATGGCTGCCCACAAGTTGGGTCGGACGCACTGCGAGAGTTGATACGCGAGCTGCTCATCCGCAACGGCTGACTCTAGGTCAATGTACTCCTTTGCCAATCGGACATGTGGGATGTTGAGATCCTTGAACTCATTACCCATTGAGGAATTAGGCGAACAAGCAAAATCAAACATCGGGCATACAGCATCACGCGCTAGGCGCTTGCAAGCACGCTTGTCGCCAACGGTAAGCGGAGGGCGATGAACGCCCCTGAAGCTGGCAAGGGTTACCGAAAACGGATGGCTTCTCTTTCGTGGTCTCAGCAAGTGTTGTGCTGGATGCGGTTGACACGGTGACGGCTGCTCCTGGGCTGACTGGGATGTTACCCTCGTGAGGACTGAGCCCCCCTGCTGCGCTTAAAGCTGCAGCCGAATGGTTGGAATCACTATATAACCTAAAAATGGTTATGCCAGTCCAGAACACAGGGAGTTCTCAATGTGCTGAGAATCTGCCTGCCCAACCATCACTGATATCTTCCTTGCTACCATCTTGCTGGGACACAACGCGAGTGGTCCTACCGGGTGTGATCCCGCACACTGACACGGGACAATCACCGACATCCTTGGGAGTGAAAAGTTTAAGCCTAGGCTGATGATGCACGCGGATTAACACGTTACCACTAGGCTTATAAACCCATTCATCCTTCTTGGTTGATGCGGGGACAGCGTCGGTATGCGGAACACTGGGCCGAGAAGAGGCGGGCTCTCCAAGCAAGGCACGGACGATATCGGGGTCTCCCTCCTCAGGTGCCTCGATCTCTGGGGCTTCTGGGGGTTCTAGGGAGGACGCCTTTGCAGCGCGTATAGCAGCTGCCTCATCTGCACTTTTACTTACTTGGTTTGGTGGCTTCCTCACTTGCGGCCTTTTTGGCCTTCGCTTCTTCCTTTTCACTTTCAACTAGCTCTGCAAACCTTTTGCGGCATTCGTCAGTGTGATGCCTGGAACTAGCATGGCCGGCGC